GTGTGTGTGTGTGGGTCAGTGTGTGTGTGAGCTGTCAGTGCAGCGATGTGTGTGTGTGTGGGTCAGTGTGTGTGTGTGGGTCAGTGTGTGGCCAGCATGCAGGTCAGTGCTGACTGACCAGGTTCTCCTGGTTCCGGGCGCTGACTCTGTCCTCCTCTCCTGCCCGCATGTACTTCACCTCCTCCACGCCCTTCATCTTGTACTCATCTGCGGAGAGAGAAACAGGCACAGTGATGCCCTAGACGGGTAAATCTGTGCACCTGGGCCCCAGAGCACTGTGCATCCTCAGTCCGAAACCAGGTACACTCCTGAGGAGGCAGATCCAAACTTTCAAAATTCATCTGGGCTCGACGAGGAAACAAAGTTGCTTGGAAAAGGAGAAAAACTGCATTTCAGCAGAGAGAGACATCCTCCTCAGTTACAAGTGTTTGAAACAACAAAACCTAAGGGTGGAGCAGTAAGGGGGTTGGTACTGCAGGCAAACCCCTCAGAGCTGGGGTGCCCCATTCTTTCTTAGGGGGGCACATTCCATTAGTGCGGTCTTACAGTCCATTCTCATGACCACAAACCCCACCCTCACCCTCCTAATTACTCACCTTATTACTAATCGTCTGGGCTCCATCCTCCCAGATCCTCCTTCCACAATCACAGTATGCTATCCCCCAACCAGGGACCCCCCCCAACCACTGACGACCCCCCCTCACTCTCAATCTCACCCCCCCCAACCACTGACGACCCCCCTCGCTCTCACCCCCCCCAATCCACTGACGACCCCCCTCGCTCTCACCCCCAACCACCGACACCCTCCTCGCTCTCACCCCCAAAACCCCTAAACCCCCCTCTCGCTCTCACCCCTAAACTCGCTCTCATCCCCTAACCAGCAACCCCCCACGCTGTCATTCTGAACCCCCTGAAACGAGGGGCGTGTCTGCCGGAGCGCACCAGCAGGAGGAAGAGGAAGTCAGGTGAGCTCGCTGGTTTACAGGAACAGGTCAGGTGACGCCCTGATGACGACCTGCTTTGGCACTCTGGGGTTGTGCTTCCCAGCGACCAGTCAGCTGATCTGCGCTATAAAGGGGAAGGTGAGGGGCGCGCTAGGGGCGTCGGTGTTATTTACAGAAGGAGGGCCCCCACAGACTCCGTCAGGCTCCTTTGACCAGACAAACACGCACTCCTCCTTACACTCTGGCCTTCTCGGGCCTATCTGCCCCTCTATCTGACACCCCACCCCGAATGTTTACTCTGGCCTGCTCCCATACTGCCCCTCCCTGCATGCCCACGCTGCCACTCGGTGGTGCACACGCACACAAACGTGCAGGAACATGTCCGCAGACGCGCACTCCCTCTCGCACACACACACTCAGCCGAGCAGATGCCCTGACAGACGCCTGACAGAGGAGCTGAGATCTCAGCTCTATATTTAGATGTTGTAATTACAGCTCTCTTAGGGAGGGAGAGGAGAAAGTTTTAAGGAGCGGGAGAGGAAGGAAGAGAGGGAGCATGAAATGAGAGGGACAAGGAGTGAGGAGACAAAAGTTTAAGCAGACAGAAGGACTGTTAGTATGCCAGAGCTCACTACAAAGCGATCGAATATAAAATAAGCATGATATGCCACACTTCTCTCCTCTGCTCTTCTCTCCTCTGCCGCCCAGCCCTGCTCTCTGCTGTTCGGAGCGGGATGGGGAGCAGTGGAGGAGGGGTTGGAAACGCTGCCTGAGGAATGTAAACATGCCTGGGCTGAGCAGACGGCACGCTGGCACGCTCCGCACTCTGGGGCAGGCCTGCACAGCCACGCAGCTGGGGCTCCAGGGCTGCGGCTTGCTCTTTTTCAGAACGGCTCTTTCACAGGGTTTACAGATACCTGAAGCTTTTGTTCTTCTGACACCGGGGGTGGAGTGGAACAGTGGCGGTGACGCCGTGGTGATGGTGCTGGTGTGGTGATGGAGCAGCACAGTGGCGGTGACGCCGTGGCGACGGAGCGGCACAGTGGCGGTGACGCCGTGGCGACGGAGCGGCACAGTGGCGGTGACGCCGTGGCGACGGAGCGGCACAGTGGTGGTGATGCCGTGGCGATGGAGCGGCACAGTGCGGTGATGCCGTGGCAATGGAGCTGGTGTGGTGATGGAGTGGAACCGTCCGGTGACGCCGTGGTGATGGTGTGGAAAAGTGCAGTGATACCACAGTGATGGTACCGGTTCAGAACAGCGAGTGCAGTGCTGGTGTGGGGGTGGTGCAGTGTGCAACAGTGCAGTGTTCAGCCTATAGTTAATAAAATACCGTGATCATAAAAGTATTTGTTGTGTGAACAAATATATAAACCCGTCAGCCAGACCGAGAGAGGGTAGGTCAATGCAGTCAATTTTCTCTAGGAAATCACACCCCTCCCTCTCTCTTCCTCCATTTGTCAACAAGGTCAGGGTTTCCTGTGATTGTGCAGGCAAGGGACAGCTAGCAGCTCTCTGGCTTCCTGCTCCTGAGAGCAGAGAAGGCTACCTGCTCTTACTGATGTGTGATTCTACAGGGCTGTGGAAAAACACTGCGCTTGCTTCATCCTGCCGGTAAAACCACTGCGAACTGAACAAAACTGACAAAGACAGACAGGGAGAGGCGCTGTGCAGTGTGTGAAGCCTGTCTGGGCTAATCCGCGGTATTAAGGTCAACAGTTCCCTCTCTCTCCTGCCTCACGGATGGATCTATATACTGGTTACGTACTGGTATTTCTTCCTTCTCTGAGAATTTCCAAGGTTAGCATCCATGGTGCACCAAAGCTCTGGAGGGAACTGGACCAGAGAGGCAGTGAAGGAAACAGAAATTCTGATGGAAGATGCTGATGATACAGTGGGATAAAGTGGTCTCACGGATCAATGGGGGAAAACGATCAGGGGAGAGGAAGTGCGCTTCAGAAGGCACGTCGATAACAGGGTCTAAAGCCAGTACAATAAGGTCTTCCCCAACAGTACAAACAGCTGAAGAGGAGCGCAGGATGAAACAAAGTCAAGCTGAACTAACTGGAGGACAAAGCTGGAAAGGAAACTGCACTCGCAGTAGCAGGGAAACATTCATTGGCATCCTGTCTGACGGATGGCTGGATTCTGTCTTGGGAAAGAGCTGGTAACAATCAAGCAAGCAGAACAGTCACAGGGAGTCCCTCTTATTCGAAACCACACTCATATTAAGGGATGGAGACATTGGAGGCACAGAGACCAATATTATCCTCCACCCTGAGAAACACAGACAGCTGAAAGCACAACAGCCTCAGAACAGAGGTGGCAGCAGATCTACTGTATCTGACCATTTACATTTCACATCACACTGAGTTTAAGCTGTGTCCTGCAGTTTGGAGGCTATACCTCTACATAAGTCTGTACCTACTTCTCTCTTGTGTTTCTCAAGTACCTCTTGAGAAAAACATCAGGCCCTGGGGATTTGTTATCTTAAACTAGGTTTGTTGAATTCTTCCTTGTTAAACACCTGAATACATTAGATTTTCCAGTCATAACTTAATGATGGCCCATCTTTATCTCTGAGACACTGTTTACCCTTCCACTGTTCTTTTACTCTCTCTTGGCTTCTGTGATTTAGATTTTTTCACCTGTGCCTGCAATTCATGTTACGTCTGTTTTAGCAGGAGCCTGTTCTTTTTAATCTTTCTAGACAGTGCTTTCTTTCTCCTCCTGTTTTTCTTGATTAATGAATACATTTGGACTGCTGCATTCCACACTCACAGTCTTCTTTCCCGAAACCCTACCTCTTGACAGAAAGAGCAGACACTGGCCCTGCCTAAGCCCTGAGGACGTTTCAGTTTCACCTCCTGACGTACGCAGCGCCTTGCGAGAACGTTTACAAGTAGGACATTAAAAACTAAATTATTTTTTTAACATGGGATTATACAACCCTTTTCTATTTTAATGAAACCCCATCCTCGTAAAGACACACTGAAATCATGGTGTATGCCGGGTAAAACACAGACATATAGTAAATCTTGGAGAGCAGTGGAAAAGTAAATAAGATCCATGGCAAACCCGAAAAACAATCTGCAGACTGTCCATGGTAACACTTTACAAGGGAGATTTCCAGGGTCAGAACATGTGATTCAACAGCAGGGACAGGTCTGCAAGAGCCTGCAGAGCCTCAGAACACAGTTTACCCTGTGCTTATTGTTTCACTGCAGCACTGCACTTTGCTATTGAATGCTCAGCTGTCAAGTGCCGTGCGTAAAGGAATAATAAGAATAGGAACAGTAGCTAACTCTTTTCTGCTATGCTGCTAATGATCAAAACACTGTGTGATCAGAAGTGACAGTGTGGCCTCCTGTCATCTGTCTTCTGGCGGCATGTCACCCTTTCAATCCCAGGCAGCACAATTTAGAGCATCCCTGATCATCTCTAATCCTTAATCCCTAATCTCACCCGGTTTGCCGGATCGGCCATATCATTTTAACTGAGGCTGTTATTTGCACACTCTGTTGTTCTCTCTCTCCCTCTCTGATGCACAGCAGTGTATCAGACACCTGTTCTCTCTCCCCTCCCTCTGCATTGCTCTTACTAACAGGCCATGTTGAAACATCAAAAGTTTGTTCTCCTTTGTAACAGTGAGAAACAGTGCAGTGAACTCAGCCCTCAGTGTGCCCGTGTGTACATACCAGGGTGTTCCTACTAGTGCCGTTACACTGGTGCATCACAGTGCAGCAAAGCAAGGCTGTCAGCATGTCGATATCTCTGGATGTCAGTGTCTCGGCACGGTGGTGCATCAGTAATGTGTCAGGGGCTCACCAGTGAAGAGGTCCCCATTGCTGTAGGCCTTGCCCCGGCCCTCCTCCTCGCTGGGCACGGCCGACACCTGCTTGGCGGAGGTGCAGCCCATCGCCTCGCTAACACTCCCCGCCCCCGCGCATCGCACGGACACGGACACCTGTGGAGAGAGGGAGGACATGCACGGTTTAGGGAAGACGGCATGGACTCTGGGTTAATCCTGCCCCGATCCCCAGAGAGAGACCACGGCTCAGTTACCACAGCCTGGCCATAGAAACTGGGCGACACAGGCAGACCCAGCTGCCCAGAGAGGACAGGCTGTGCACTGAAGAAGCAAAGACAAGGGTGCACTTCCTACTGCACTGTGACAAATATTCGGGGATTAGAGAAACATTCTTCCCTAAATTTACAAATCTATTCCCAGAATTCCCACACCTGCCAGAATCACAACAACTACTGATCCTACTGGGGGAGCGAGGAGGGAACTCAGTTGAAACTGGTAGCCCTGTATGTGATCTCCTATCACAGCCTGAGGAACAGTGAGCCTGTCTCCCAATAATGCTCCATGTGTTTATATGTAAATATCTTACGATTGCATCTTTATTGCAAATGTCTGTAGATTTTTATTTTCTGTTAATTGTATTTGTTTTGCTTTGGCAATACTGATTTCACCCATTGGTCATGCCAAGAAAGCATCTTGAATTGAATTGAATTGAATTAAATTGATAGAGAGAGGGGGGATCGCCGTCTGCTCTGCTTCATCCACACCTGGCTCTTTGTCCTGCCCGTGGCACGGCAGCCAGGCAGGAGCTGTAGGCAGGGCACTTTCCACTTCAAAAGCGCCCAGAGCGAGTGCTGGAGAGGGGGAGGGGGGGCGGGGGGGCGGGGCAGTCTTTGATGCTGAGAAACGGCTTTTCTCTCCCAAGAGCAAATCGCGCTGCGTCTCCATCCTTGAGCTCTGCTAGCGGCAGTCAGAGACGCACCCCCACCCCACGTTGTGCATCTAAGAGCCCATCTTACACCTGTTCTCTCTCCGAAAGCAGTTCCAACCAGCTTCCGAATGGCCACGTTTCAAAGCAAGGTGGCAACACAGATGCCACAGGAGGCCACACTGAGAAGAGGATTGAGTCCTGAGCTGCTACACTAACAGCACACTTTGAAACCTCCAATAGGGAGGTGTCTGCGACACTGTCCCCATCAGACAGCCAATAACAACCTATAACAGCCATCGGCACTCCTGTGCAAATACCACTTGAACAAGCCAGAAGGTGGAAAATCTCCATTCCTAACAGCACGACTTTTCAAAGCACAACGGTTCAAAATGATGAGCTCTGCCTGCACAGAGCTAGCCACAAACACAGGCTGGGAGTTCGTCTTGCAGGAAACAAAGCGCAGTACGAGCTGCTCGCCCCATCTGTCATGACGGCGCACAAAGAGCTCCGAAGACCTGAGCCCAGAAAACGGATCTGGGGTCGGACCTGCGGACACAGCGACGCCCCCCCCGAGTGTAGGCCGCGCGCTCTGATCCCCTCTCTGCGGACCGGCGTTTAACCCAGGGCTGGCACTGTCCAGCAGCGGGAGCACCAGGTCACGCCAGTTCCCTGAATTAGCAGGACGGGAGCAGTACGCGGGGTGTGACCGCCAGCCCGCGCGCTGGCTGTATTTAGCGGATGACTTCATGCGACCCGGCTGCTCTGCAGACTGGGAGCGAAGCTGCTGAGCGGGCGGATATCCGAACAGTCTGCGCTCCTGCTGCGGCTCCAGCGGTCCTCTGCTCAGGGCACGGGCTACTTCGTGCGCCTGAGGGGGGCAGGCTGCCCGCGACTTTTGAACCTAGCAAACCCGCTACTTCTAGCTCAGCCGAAAGGTGAATGTGATCATGCAGGGCTCACACAGATCACCTTGAGCTCGTCTTTGGAACACCTGCATGCTGTCTAATTTCTCCTTACAGCCTGTAGATTAAAAGATGGGCCACTGTGACAACCACAGAAAAAACTTCAGGAAAAGATCACAGACATAAACAGAGACTTGAGGATGATTGGAAACAGAGCTCCGGATCCAGCGCGTGCCACTATCGAACCCCAGATCTCTTTTTTAGAATAAACAGGTTCAACAGGTAAAGGCCCATCTGCACTGCAGAGCCTTGCCTGCTTGGCATGATCTCCCCGAGGCACCACTACTTTCACAGCCATCGAGCACAGGGGGACAGCGCTGGCCCAGGAGGAGCGTCCAGCAGGAGAGACGTCCTGGGAATAAGACGGAGCACGAGCAATGGTCCCAGAGAAGACGATCCCCTGGCTGGACTGCTGCAGAGTGAGTAAGCAGTCTCGGGGCCCGGCGTCCTGCGGTGTAACAGTATCAGCCCCGAAGAGGTCAGCTTGACTTTCTGAAGCTCTGCGCTCTGGCGTCGGGGCCAATTTTTGCTGAGCGTGGAGGATCTCTGGGTTCCAGTCTGTCAAAGGCAGGGAGCCGTGACTCTGCGTCAACCATCAGCAGAGGGCTGTGGCGGGGCGAGCGTGTGCAGAGGGCGTGTGAGGTGAAGGTTCCTGGTTCACATCCTCGAGCTGTGCCACCAGCTCAGACAGGGTTCTCTGAGGAAGTTACTGAGCTTTGTTCTCTGCCCTTCATGTCCACTGGGAAAATACTGCCCTATTGTAAGCGACTCGACAGCAGGCTGGCAATGCACGACTGAAAGGAATCAGAGGCTTGGGTTGCTTTTGTTAGAAAGTCTGCTAAGCCGCGTCTCACTTGGCGTCTCCAGAAACACAGCATGGCCACGCCGTTCCAGCACGAACAGGAGGATCACAAGCACGAGTAAGAGAGAACGAGCTGTTCAAGCAAGCAGAACTGATGAACGATTTCGCGACAACAGCCAGAACCTTCCACGACGCACGCCTCCCCCAGTCTGCGCGGTTTAAGCCTTCTTGTTTAGGAGACGGGCGACACTGTTCTTTCTCACGAGCTGCGCCTGCACAGCCTCAAAGCAGGTCCACCCGCATCTCTGTTTGCAGCACGCAGGAGACACTGCGCGCCTCTCTAACGATTTCGTTTCTCTCTGCGCTGGCGGCGAAGCTGCTGCAGGCAGAAGTCACACTTGGTTAGAATCAAGAATGGGGGACTAGACTGAATAGCAGCCACGAGACAGAGCACCCCCTCCTGTATGTCATGTCACAAGCCCTTCTGTCGTTTTAGAGCAAACGCATCGTGTTGGCCGGACGTCGCTGCCGGACTGTGGATTTTCCCAGGCTCGCAGGCAGTGGTGCTGTCGGGTCCTGCGGTGCCCGGGGAGAACAGCGAGTGAGTGGCAGGGGGACAGGCCAGACCGGACAGGTGGCTTCCTGCAGCCCTGCAGAGGGCCGTGCTTGTGCGGACACCACAGACAGACACCAACACACAGGCCCCAGCCACGCACCGCGGTGCTTGAATCTGAAACCCTGGTGGGGGGGGGGTTGGTGTTCAGGTGTGGCGGTGGGGTGTGTGCAGTCGGGGGCTGCTCACAACGGGGTCACACTCTCCGTCAGGGGATGGGGGTGCCATGCCCTCAATCCCCCCGTGTGGGGTAAAGGAATCCGTGACAATTCCAGAGAGCGAGGGCCTGACCGCTCCCTGTTTTTTAATCCAGGTGCGACAACACAAGATCCATATTAAGACCCGCTGGCTATGGAGGCGGGCGGGGGGATTGTTTATTCTAGAACACAAGCTCCTGCTCACCCCTGACT